GGTCTGGTACGGGGGCAACACTGAGGGTTGTGATCCGTTGCCAGACACAGAAAAAGACAAAAGACAAAAAAAAAAAAAAAAAAGAATAAGTATGATTTGTAACAATATGAATGCTAGGAATATTGATTTGATCATTATATGTTAACTTCAACCCCCAAAATGTGTATAATCAATTATGATTAAATAAAAATTTAAAAAACAAAGAACAAAACAAACAAGGAGTGCAAAGAAGGGCTGGTGTGAAAAGTACCATGCAGTAAATATCTGCGGGAGGTACTGACCGACTGGACATGAAAAGAAGGGGGAGAATCTGAGGCTGGTCTGAGTGTTGGAAGTGGCTGACTGGTAGATAGATCTAAAGAACAAGTCTATTTCAGGGGAAGATGAGGGGTTGGGAGTTAATTATAGAATCCTGGAAGAGAAATACAAATAAAATCTTATCAACTCTAAGGTATTATCACTTGTAAAACACTCCAGTATTTTAGGTACCACTAAGAAAAAATGCTACCAATCAAAATATGACACATTTCCCTAAAAATACAATTTTTACTTTATTGAAATAGCTGTTTTAGATTTCTGTGTAGATTTTTTGAAATCTCTTTTACTGAAGGATAACTGACATACAGTAAAGTGCATGTATTTCAAGTGTACACTTGGATGACCTTTGACATGCACCTGTGAAACCATCACCACAATGAAGGTAGTGAACAAATTCATCACGTCATGCCCCTCTATCATCCCTCCCTGTGGCCCCGCCTATCTCTCTCCATCCCTAAGCAACTACTGATTTGCTCTCAGTAATATAGTTTAGTTTACATTTTCTAGAATTTTAGATAAATGGAATCACACAATAGACATTCTTCTTGGTCTGGCTTCTTCCACTCATTACAGCTATTTTGAGGTTCATCCATGTTGTTGTGTATATCAATAGTTCATTCCTTTTTACTGCCAAGAAGTATTCCATTATGTGGATATACCACAGTTTGTCCATTCACCTACGAATGGTCATTCAGGTTGTTTACAGTTTTTAGCAATTATAAATAAACCTGCTATGAATATACATAGATTTTAAATGGCAAATATCTCTCCTGTGCATAAAAAGGGAAGATGTAAGTGAAATGAATTGGTTGATATTCTTAAAACTTCTTCACATTCAGAGTCCAACTTTTTTTTAATCACTTTTTAATTCATAGTCATTGATGTCTGTTTTTTACCACACAATATCTCCTCTGTGCTGTCGAGTGGTAATAAAAAAAAAACTGGAAAAGAACTAAAAGCTATTGGTGCTGGGCACTGAAGCCTGCTGTACATCACCACCTTCCCACAATGGTTTGCTTCCTAGGTTTTAAAAGGGTGTTCCACAGTTGTCCCTGGGATTTCTTTCCGAATCCCTGACACCTATTCTGCTAGTTTGGAAGCCAGTGCTTTTGATGTTGATGCATATACAGGCAATGACAAGTACGTCTTGACTGCTGCTGGGGCAACAGTAATTGTGGGACACCATCAGTTGTAAGACACATTTCAGTTTCAGGATATTAAATGTGGTAAATTGTGCATCTTAGAATCCATTAAGTAGGGTAGTTCAACCAATTCATTTGATAGATAAGGGCCTGGCATATTGCAATCCTTGTCCAGTGTCACAAAATAAATTAGTGGTAGTGGGGACCAGAACAAGTATATAGGATCCAGACGGCTTTTCTGACTTTAGTATGATTTTTGTTTGTTTGTTTTTTACTGGAAAATAGCAATTGAAGCTTTAAAGGAGGGCTAATGGAAGAGAAAGAGACATGCATTGCATTTGAAAAGGACACCCAAACAGAAAACGAAAAACCTGAACATTGTGAGCAGTTTAATTAATAAGGGGAGGGAAACAACATTCTGATTGCTCCTAAGTGTCCTACCTGCAACCAATCTCATTCTATGTCAAACTGTTCTTCATTCTTTCCATTTGAACTGCCTTATAAGAAACAGGTGTGCTCAGGTAACTTGCCTACTTTAAGGAGTTTGGTGGCTTCCCATCCCCAATAGAATAAAGTCCAGGTCCCTTAGCAAGGCACATAAGGAAGGCCCTTCAGAGATATCCCATCCTTGTCTTTAGTTCTTTCCTCTCCCTCTCCCCATGAATTCCTCTCTGTAGCCATGCCACCTGTTTCACCAACATAGCATGTATTTTCTTATCCTGTGCCTCTGTTTATCCTGTTCTTTTCTAGAATTACCTTTGCCCATACGTGTCCACCTTATAACCTTCATGGCTCAAATGCAACCTCTTTTTCACAGTTTCCCCTCAGCCCCCCACCCCTTTACCCAGTGATTATTTCCTCATGTGTTTTTAAACCCACTCTATACATGACTTCTAACACTTACCCCATGGTATTATTGCTATCTGTGTGTCTCACTATGCTGTGATATCCTTGGAGAAAGGGGTCATATCTTTGTATTCTTGTTTTCTAGAACTTTCCCTGGAAAATAGTAGGTATATAGCAAAAATTTATTGCTTTGAAAGATCTGATTGATGTTAATACCTCCTAAGGAGAAACACAGTTAAGTACATTACAATTTCCTGAATGCAGTTTTATCTTTCTAGGGAAGATCGGTAAAATCCTCTGCTAGGAGGAAGGGATTAAGTAATATTTTCAGTTTGGGTGAAAGTTTAGGAGTGAGGTGGTATTAAAAAAGGGGATGCTGGAAAAATATAGGAAAATGGTCAGGGCCCATCAGATGTTCAGAATCTTGCCGAGCATTTGATGTAAATATGCACATGTGCCCAGGTGTTCCTTGGCTATTGACTAATATAATTGCGCATGTGCACCCAGGTGTCCCGCGTTATGGACTTAAGTATAAAGGACTAGTGGCTTTCTCCCCAGGCCGCCCCCCTGCCCCCAGATGCCCCCTGGGGGGGCCCACGAGGAGGCTTCTGCTGCTTGAGACTGTTGCTGCCAGTGCCCCCAGGATGCCCCAAGAGGCCACTGCCACTGCCACTGCTGCTGCTGAGAACTGAGCTCGTGTTGTCTGCCAATGGCTCCTGGGATCTTTCCTAATTATTTAGCATGGACCTGCATGTGAGGGGTCTGGTGACCCGGTCTGCACAATGGGTTTGAAGGGTCTGAGCCTTAGCCCTGACAATACAAATGGAAACTTATAACTAAAACAATGGTACGGTTTGGCTTTAGCTATGATTTGCCTAACTCGACCAGTGGCATAGTTGTGTAGCTTTACAGGGGATTGAAAGGTGAATAGTCTCGGGGTATAAGGAAGGAAGAGTTACGTATAAGGCTAAAGAAACAAAAAGGAAATAGGAATAGAAATACAATGGAAGATAAAAGAGAAAAGAGAGGAGAAAAGGAGAGAAAGTGATTGTGTGTCCAGGATTTTAGAATCCTACCTAGTTTGATTGCAGGGGGGTTGCTGGACAATGCCTTCTCACATAGATGCTGTGAGCTCTCTTTACTGAATGAATCCTGTTTTGTATTCTTCCCATCACTCTCTCCCTGAAAAGTGAGTATGCTTCCTACAGCTGCCTTACAAGGAGTGCATTGTTCTTCACTGTTTTCCTATGGAAAGCCAGGGCAGGCAGCGTGGTGTGGTGGGAAAGCACTCACCACACTGGGAGTCAGAAGGCCAGGCACATACATCCCTGCTCTGTAAGCCCAAGCAAGGCCCTCAGACTCCTCCAGCTCAGTCACCATCTGTAAAATGGGGATGACAGCATCTGTGCAGGCTTCCTCACAGGGTTGTTGCAAAGGTCAATGTAGGTGAAAGAATGTATATGAAAACACTTTGTAAGCTGTCAGGTTGCTCTACACGTGAAGGTAATATTACCTTTTAGTTGAATTATTCGTCCAATAGACCCCACAGACAGCAGAGCTCTGTCTCCTGTTAGTAAGTCCTGTTTATAGAAAGAAGATAACAGTGTTTCTTTTTTATTAGTATTCTGAAGTCTGAGGAAGCTGGCCCATTTAAATGTGCTCGGTACGTGAGAAAGGTATATAAGAAGCCATGGCACTCCCATTTCAAAAAGAGCTGGAGAAATACAAGAACATTGATGAAGATGAGCTTCTTGGCAAACTCTCAGAAGAGGAATTGAAACAGTTGGAAAATGTTCTAGATGACCTAGATCCCGAGGTTAGTGACATGGAACTGAAGCAGAGGGGTTAATGATAGTGTGGGATAAATGGCGTAGCTTACTCCAAATGCAAATTCTGTGTTCTTCCCTAATTGGTTTTGGGTCACTTACTTTTACAAATTCATAGCCACTACAGTATGATATGGCAAATATATTTCTCAAAAACCAGGTTAAATGCTCACTTCAGCAGCACACATACTAAAATTGGAGTGATGCAGAGAAGATTTATCATGGCCCCTGCACAAGGATGACAGGTAAATTCCTGAAGCATTAAAAAAAAAAAAATTCAGGGGAGCTGGCTGGTTAGCTCAGTTGGTTAGAGCATGGTGTGATAACACCAAAGTCAAGGGTTCCAATCCCTGCACTGGCTAGCCACCAAAAAAAAATTTATTTTTTAAACCAGTTTAATGTTATTGGGGAAAATATTTTTCATTGGTTGAAGAAGTACTAGTCTGACTTAGGGAAAAAAGAAAGAAAGAGGAAAGAGAACAAATCTTACCGAGTTTTTTCTATGAGTCATACACTTTGCTGGGCACTGAAGCCCTTGAGGTAATCGTATTATCCCCAGTTCATAAATGAGGAGACAGACTAGGGGAGGTAATTTACCTAAGATCTACACTAGTAAATGTCAGAGATGGTATTTAAATGAAGTATTTAACCCCAAATGCAGATTTTTTAAATCTCATTTCTTTCAAATGCATAAATAACTTGAAATCTTTGCCAATCCCACAATGGATAGATTAGATGATTATATAATCATAATATGTCAATTTAAGTGACATATGTCAATTTAAATGGCTCCTAATATTTTTATGCATTCTTAAAAAGCTAAGTAGCTGGTTATATTGTTTGTTTAACAAGCACTTTCTTCACCCTGATGGTATTATCTTAAACTTAGAATTGGAGGATCCAGGGCCGGCCCGGTGGCGCACTGCTACATTGCGCCGCTTGGGAAGTGTGGTGGCGCTCCCACCTGAGGGTTCGGATCCCACATACAGACCGGTTCCCGCTCACTGGCTG